GCACTCTGGGAGGCCTCGGGACTTAATAGGATGTGCCCACCATGCCCGGCTAATTTTTGTTCTATACAGTATATTAGTTGGCCAACTAATATATGTATAGAAAAAATTAGCCGGCATGTGGCACATGCCTATAGTCCAGCTATCGGAGACTGAGGCAAGAGGATGCTTGAAACCAGGATTTGAGGTTGCTGTGAGCTAGCTGATGCCACGGCACTCACTCTAGCCTGGCAACAAAGCAAGACTCTGCTCAAAAAAAGAAAAAAAAAAAAAAAAAAAAAAAAGACTGGTCTATAATTTCTTTTCTCATACTTGCTTTTTTGGGTTTGGTTATCAAAATATTGTTGGTCTCATGCAATACCTTACAGATGTTGTTTTTTTTCCTACTGTCTGGAGGTTTGGATAATACTGGTATTTCCAGTATTTTCTGGACCCTGATATTTCTGGAACCAGTATTTTCTGGAATACTGGTATTTCTGGTATTTTCTGGAACCTGATAGCAAAAAACCACCTGGGCCAGACATTTTCTTGGTGAGAAGCTTTTGAACCACCGAGTCAAGTTATTAAATTTCTATAATACTTTAATACTAATATTAAAGTATTAAAGTACTAATAGTAATATTAAATATTAAAGTACTAATAGTAATATTTAATACTAAATTATTAAATTTCTATAGATAATATAATAATCTATTTTGGATTTTCTGTATCTACTAGAGTTAGTTTTGCTTAAAACATACAGTTCTATGAATGTGTCCAGCTTTTTAAATGTTCTAAGACAGAGTCATTCATAATATCATCTTGTTTTGTTTATAAACTCAGCTACCTCTGGAGTTGAACACCCTTGTTCTTCTTAAAATTATTCACTGGCATGTTCTATTTCTTTTATTTCCAGACTTAGTAAACTGTGTCTGTTCTATTCATTATTTTACTTAGTTTATTTTTCATTGTAGTACAAACTAAAATTTTATTTAAAATACAAGCCAGGTGCGGTGGCTCACGCCTGTCATCCTAGCTCTCTGGGAGGCTGAGGCAGGCGGATCGCTTGAGCTCAGCAGTTCGAGACCAGCCTGAGCAAGAGACCCCATCTCTACTATAAATAGAAAGAAATTAGCCAAACAACTAAAAGTAGAAAAAAATTAGCCGGGCATGGTGGCGCATGCCTGTAGTCCCAGCTACTCGGGAGGCTGAGGCAGGAGGATCGCCTAAGCCCAAGAGTTTGAGGTTGCTGTGAGCTAGGCTGACGCCACGGCACTCTAGCCTGGGTGACAAAGCGAGACTCTGTCTCAAAGAAAAAGAAAAAAGAATACAATGAATGCATTAAAACGAAATGTTAAACTTTAAGTCAAATTAATTTTGCTGAAATTAAATTCAATCTAATAAAAGTTAACTTTGCCAAAATTAATTTTAACCTAATGAAAATGAATTTTATTGAAATATAATTTATTCTAAAATCAATGTTATTAAAATTAAAGGCTTTTAATTTTGGCTACCTCGACCCTCTCTTTTTCATTCGTTTTCTAACTCAGTGAACTCTGCTGTTTTTTCGTTTGTTTCTTTCTTCCTACGCTTCTTTGTGTGTGTGATGCCGTTGTTCCTTTTCCGACTTCTCGAGCCGGACGCAGTAGAAGGCACACGCAGCTGTAAATTCCCCTCTGTGCCCCGAAGCTTCCGAAATGTTGACACGAGTTCCAAGCGGTCAAAAAAGAGGAGCTTCTTGCAAGTGTTTTCTTAGGAAGCCGAGATTGTCTGGGTCAACACCACCACGGCCAGGCGGGTCTAAAAGATAAACCCTCCGCTGCCCAGGAAGGCCACCCTAGGCTCCGTTCTCTGCGGTGAATTTGGAAAGAAGAACTGACAGTTTGTGCACTTTTAGGAGAACATCTGAGCACCAGCTCTGCAGAAGCCCTGAGATCCTCAGCGTACGGACCTCAGCCGTTCGATGAGCCACAGCAACAGGCAGGTGGAAGTGAGTCCCCTTAAGTCTGTGCTGAAAAGCATCCCTAAGCACATGGCGAAATGAGCAAACATGGCACGAACAAAACCCAGGAGGGAACACGCTCCTCAGGGCACGGGACGTCATGCCTGCGTTTTTTGCACGTGGATTAGACGATGCAGTGGAGGCTCTCCAAGAGTTGGCCAATTAATTTCTTTCTATTTTTAGTAGAGATGGGGTCTCGCTCTTGCTCAGGCTGGTTTCGAACTCCTGACCTTGAGTGATCCTCCCGCCTCGGCCTCCCAGAGTGCTAGGATTACAGGTGTGAGCCGCCACGCCCCGCCCTTGTCCACCTCTCTTAAACACAAATGTATTTAATCTAAAGAGAATAGCGTGTCTAACGTCATTGGAAGCTCTTCTTGGAGATATAAACACACACTCACATAAAGAAAATTTTACTTAATTTAAAAGCACCTATACTTTAAAAACCCTCTGTTGTTTTCCTTTTTTTTTTTTTCTTTTTCCACAAACCACTGCCACAGCACTATAATTACTTCACTAATGCAAGGGAGAAAACAGCACAAATTCCTTTCCTACAAAGAGTGTGTGCCCTTTATTTGGAAAACTTCTAATTATATAGACATTAGACTTGTGATGGCCATTTTATGATGCACAGGATTAGATGGCTGGTATAATTATAGCAACCGCTTAAGCCTGCATTAAAACCTCGCAATTGCCTGTTGGGCTGGGCGAAACTCAAGCGAGCTGATGATGCCTCCAGCTCATGGATGCTCAATCAATCCTGCCCAGATAGAGGCGTTTCAAAATAAAGGAACTGCACCAGCAGCAAAAAGCAGCATAGAACGAGGAAAAAGCCAACGTAGCACATGGAAAAGACAGCCATGTGACTATCCTCGCTGTTTCTCTCTTCGGAAAGAGGCAAACCGTCCAGGTGGCAGAAGTAGGACTGCATCCAAGGCTGTCTGGAGAGAGGACTCATGCATTTTATTCCTTCATGAAAAGCGAATGGTACAGGCAAATTTCTTTGTCTCCTTGATAGAAAAATCCATCGAAGGGTGTGAGTATGACATAGCAGAATTCTAAGATGTCCTCAATCAAATGGTGTCCCTCCAAGCATATATTTCCCTGGAGTCTGGGTATGAGACCTTATTTGGAAAAAAAAAAACCAAAAGGTCCCTGCAGATGTAAATAAATTAAGGACTGCAAGGTGAGGCCATTCTGGATTAGGGAGGGCGCTAAACCCAGTGACAGGTGTCCTCGTGAGAGACGGCAGAGGAGACATAGATGCAGAGGTGAAGCCACCTGGAGACAGAGGCAGAGGCTGGAGTGACGCTGCAGCCACAAGCCCAGGGGCGCCTGGAGTCCCCGGGAGCCGGGAGAGGCGGAAAGAATCTTCTTACGCAACACAGCTAACCAACACAGCGGGGAAACCAAAATGACCAGATGTGAAACGTGAACGATTTTCCTCCACCTCTCACTATATGAAATGAAGGTGAGTGCCTCCTAAAAAGAGTTTTACGGACCGCGTATGTTTGCATAGTACCTGTTCTCGCAGTTTCTCTATTTCAGGAACTTTGTTTCCAAAGCATAATATTGCAGGAAAACCCAGTAAGGAGGAAGGAGCCCTTCGACAGGGGGAGAGATTGCAATAGTGTTTCTCCGGAGGCAGCTCGGGAAATCATGTCGGTGGACTTTCAAGTGTTCATTACCTTTCGCCATGTGATTCCAGGTATGGGGAATTGTTGTAAGAAAATGTTCAGAAAGCCGAGCGCAATGTATGTAACAGGCTGTTCAGCGCAGCAATAAGCATGATAGGGAGACACTGAAAAAATAGTAAATGTCCCAGCTTGAGGGGATGAGGAAATGCCACACATGCACACCCATGGTGGGACACTCAGCAGCTGCAAACCGAGGGAAAGACAGCAACAGAATACACACGCATATTAGATAAATAGATAAGATAGGTTGATGCTTAGAAAGACACAAAGCTAGAGGGACATACAGATTGATAGATACATAGATATATACAGATAAATGATTGATAGACACTAATACATTGATGCATAGACAGATACATATATAGATAGATGATTGATAGATGCATAGATACATAGATGCATAAGTAGATACATAGATAGATGCAATATATATCGATGATTGACAGATTAAACAGATGAAAGATGATAAATAGGTAGATAGATAAATAGGTATAGATTAGATGAAAAATGGATAGATACAGATTAGATTGGTAGGGTTGATGATGATTAAGACAGATGATAGAGAAATAATAGATAGATGGATGCTAGATACATATGGATAGATATATTCATATATAAATACATGATAACTAGATGGATGGAAGGATGATGGATGGATGGATGGATGGATGGATGGATAGATGGATGGATAAATAGATGGATGGATAGATGGGTGGATGGATGAGTGGATGGATGGAGATGGATGGATAGATGGATGGATGGATGGATGGATGGATGGATGGATGATGAATAGATGGATGGATGGATGGATGGGTGGATGGATGGATAGATGGATGGATGGATGATGAATAGATGGATGGATGATAGATGGGTGGATGAATGGATGGATGGATAGATGGATGGATGGATGGATGGATAGATGGATGGATGGATGAATGGATGGATGTGTAGATACATGGATGATGCTACCTGCCTCACTGCTGTCTTAATAAAAGTTGGCTCAGACAGTGCAGATGTTAATTAGACACTGTTTCACCATTTTAAATTACTTCTTTAAATTTAATTTATCAGCATAATAACCGCGTTCATTTCTGAACCTGTAAGCCGCCTTCTTTCTTTCCCCGAACAATGTTTAAATGGGATACTAAATAAACATAGACAGCAATGTTGTTTTTTCATGGAATTTGGGGATGTTTTGTCCATTGGCTTTATGTGTTGAAAGAACTTCCAGGTCAATAGAAATCAAACAAGTTAGATAAGAGACACTAAGCTGCCCCATCTGTTATCTCTAAGAGATAAGCGATGACATTAATAATAATAAAAGCTGATGACGTAAACTGAAGTTTAATGCCCAAAACATAGGAACTGAAGAAACACAAAAAGGACATTTGTGAGTCTGCGGACTCCACGAGGTGAATCAGCTCAAATCTCATTAACGTTTCGGCACCGCAGTCGAAATAGTTTAAAGAACAATCTTATCTGTCACACTGTTTGTGTATAGAAAACCGTTCCCCATGGAGGCATCACTTCTTGGGAGGCAATCTTCACCCTGGAAAGAAAACTTTGGAAGTTTTGAAGCAGCAACTCTCAGTGAAAAGCTGTGTTTGATATCTTCCCAAAGAAAACTTAAGATGTCCTTAGTAAATCCAATCGCATTTTCAGGAATCATAGCAATGAGCTTTAGAGGCTCTTAGAGGTGTTGAGTGCAGTGTTTGTGCTAGTGAATTTATCTAAGAGCAACTTGCAAATGCAAGTAATGCAACATTACCTACATACGTGCCAGCAAAAATAGGTTGAAAACTCCTCCTATTTATCCCTTCTATTTATAGAGCTTTTACAACTTAAAATTATACAAACACGGCATTGTTTCCTCTCCTCCCGCCATGACTTTGGCATTGCATTTCTCAGCCGGTACAATGTTCCACGCAAATATACTCTTGGCACCCGTCAACGCAGTCTCTCTCCTGGGCGAAAGAGACAAGCTTGGGATAAGTTTTATAAAACACGTCGGTCCACGGTCTGTAGCAGGAGAGATAGATTGTTATGGAATCCGCGTCTTTTCTGCGAAATATACAGCTCTGAAAATGATGTTGCGTTCTCCCTGGGGAGCAAAAATGACTTGCCTTATCCCCTTGCTCATAGAAAAATATTTACGCATGTCTCCACTGGCCTTGTAACGGATCTCTTTCTAAACATGCTTTCCCCCCCCCAAAGATCTGCACCAAGCACATTAGCAAGCACGGGGGCTCCCCTGTGGCAGGTGTTGGACTCTTACAAGGAAGGTCTCAATGTCTATCCACTTCCTCATTTGCATTGCAAAGTAGGACTTGATCCAGCTCTACCCGGGACTGACCTCACCACCGCTAATCAAAAAGCTAAGTCAACGCGTCTGCACTATTTTTTAACGCCCATCCCTCAGGATGATGGGAAGAAATCCAGCGTCTTTGCCAAATAATTCTGCCCGGCCCTTGCCTCGATTCTATCCTCAGCAACCTTGATTTTAATTTTCACAAGTGCACATGGGCAACAGTGGAAGAAAAGGATGGGCAGAGTTTTTGGAAACAAGCCTGGCCCCTCTGAGCCCCGTAGAGCTAGGCTGAAACCCTGAGCATTTCAGCCTATGCCACAAGGGCCCAGAATAACAAACTCTCCACTGCGGGGGGTGGGGGGGAACACCAACGCCCCCCCTTTTTCATGAAGGACTTTAACTAGTACAGGAGAGGTGCCCTCTTTGTAGTCTGCATCTGGGATCCTACTGTTGGCTGTAGATGCAATTCTAGAAAAAACATTGAGAGCTAGAAAATTGGTATAGCATTCATGTAAGTATTCATGTAAGGGGTGTGCATTTTCCCAAAAACAATAATCACTGATACAAGGCTTATTTACAAATGTATATATGTATACATATATATGTATATATGTATTTATATATATGTATATATAAACATATATAAAAATATATGTAATATGCATATTAACTGATTCATTCTTCTTTTTTTTTCTGAAAGACTAAGTCTTTTTTATTCCAAGGTCATTTTTTAAATTAGATATAATTAATAGACACTATAGAAAGTACAGATTTTCCTAGCACTCTGGGAGGCCGAGGCAGGTGGATCGCTCGAGGTCAGGAGTTGGAGACCAGCCTGAGCAAGAGCGAGACTCCGTCTCTACTATAAATAGAAAGAAATTAATTGGCCAACTAAAAATATATACAAAAAATTAGCTGGGTGTGGTGGCGCATGCCTGTAGTTCCAGTTACTCGGGAGGCTGAGGCAGGAGGATCGCTCGAGCCCAGGAGTTTGAGGTTGCTGTGAGCGAGGCTGACGCCGCGGCACTCACTCTAACCTGGGCAACAGAGTGAGACTCTGTCTCAAAAAAAGAAAGCACAGACTTTAAATGTACAGTTTGATGTGTTTTAACAAACATATGCATCCTAACCATCACAGAGAACTTTTTCATCAAACCCTAAAATTTCCCTTTAATTTAAAAAAAAATTAAAAAAAAAATTGATCTGTAATTTACATTCAGCAAAAACACAAATTTTAAATTCACAATTCCTGAAGACTATTGTTTTAACCTTTTGTTTTTAGTTCATTGAATCCACATTGCCATTTTATGCTGTTATATACATGAGAACACTCATTTTCCTCTGCTAAGATGCCCTTTTTCCTTCTGATAATATCTGCTCACTTTCCGAGTTACAGTTTTAACAGCATTCCCTTTTCTACGCCTCTCTCATACCCACGCCTCCACCATTCGTTAACTTTTCTCTAATATCTTTAGTAATTGCCACTTTGTTTTGGTTTTTGTACCCATTGACCACCCTCGTTGCAGTCTCATGGCCATGGTGTGTGCAAAACCTCTTTGTTCGCTTTTCTCACTTCACGTCTAGCCTCTTCCTAGGCAGGCAGCTAGTGCTTGGGATTATGTTTGTTGAATAAACAGCTGCGTGGTGCCAAAGGCATAGGTTAGTGCCTTGCAGAGCATCCTCCAATAAAGCAATTTCATATCACGGGAGTATATACAGAAGTGAGGAAGCTGAGAAGCTTCCTTATCGTTTGTTGATTGACTTCCTTGCTCCCTTCAAGGACAGGAAATATTGCTGCCAGGGTCACAGTGGGGGGGTCGACTGGGGTGAAGGTCAGGAATGGTTATGAGCCTATATTCATGGACCTCAACCAGTAGCAAAGGAACCTTCAGACTCCTGAACGTTGCCGAGTTTGGTGTGTCTAGGAGCAGGTGTCTGTTTTTTTTTTGTTGTTGTTTTTTTTAACGGGAAGAGGGTCTGTACATTGTATCGAATTCTCAGAGAGATCTAATCCAAGACAAGGTGGTGCAGTGGGCTCACCCCAAACTGGGCGGCTCAAGACAACAGGAATGTAGCCCCTCATGAGGCCAGAAGTCCAAAATCGAGGCGTTGGCATAGTCTGTTCCTTTTGGACCCTCTAGAGGAGACTCTCTGTTGCAGGCCTCCCTCCCGGCTGCTCCTGGCTCCTGGCGGTTATCCCTGGCAGCCCACGGTTTGTGGACCACGTCAGTCTGATCTCTGCATGCATCCCTACCCCTGAGCATTCTCTCCTGCAGGAGTTTCCAAGTCTGAGTCATGCAAGGACACTACCCATCCCTGCTTTTAGGGTCTGCCTACTTCATCCAGGATGAAGATGTTAGGACGACTCCCTTAATTAAATTTGCAAAGACCCTTTTTTCCCCAAATAAGGTCACCTTTACAATTCAAGTGGGCATTTGTCTTTTTTTGTAGGGGGAGTGGAGAGAACTTTCAACCCACTTCATGGTCCCTTAACCACTTGGGCACGGCGCTCACTGGCTGGGACCCCTCGCCCACAGCCGGCACTCACGGTCCGCACGTGGTTTGTGCTGTGCATTGACGACGCGTCCGTTTTGCTCTTGTGTGATGAGGAAAGCTTGAAAGCCCTGAAAGCTTGTTTTACTTCACAGGCAGCTTTACTTGTCATGTAAATCAGAATAGGTAACATAGACATATATGTTTTCGTTGCGTTATTTTTTAAATGTTCACAATTGTATTGTGATAAATGAAAAATTAGAAAAAGTCATATCACGGCTGTCGGCTAAAGTCGCCGTGCGCGTTCATGCGTGGCTGTCAACTATAGTTGATGCTCGGACCGAAGTGGTTAAAGAAAAGATCACAACCTCATGTTCATTCACGTGGCAAATACATGAGGAAACCTCGACCACTTCCACCCCAGATTGTTGGATGCTCTGCCAGGAATTCACGAGAATCCAGACACCTTTTGATTTCTTCATGATGAAGGAATCTTTGATCCCTGATAAGCATTTTCAAGTCCTATAATTTTGGTCCACACTGTTAAGTCTAAATGGCTTCATGGTCAGCATTAAAATGCCTTCTATTTTCAAATCAAAAGCACAATGAGATATCAGCTAACTCCAGTGAGAATGGCTTTTATCAAAAAGTCCCCAAACAACAAATGCTGGCATGGATACAGAGAGATAAGAACACTCTTACACTGCTGGTGGTACTGCAAACTAGTACAACCTCTGTGGAAAGTAGTATGAAGATATCTCAAAGAACTAACAGTAGAACTACCATTGGATCCAGCAATCCCACTACTGGGCATCTACCCAAAGAAAAAAAAAGACATTCTATAAAAAAGACATTTGCACTCGAATGTTTATAGCAGCACAATTCACAATTGCAAAGATGTGGAAACACCCCAAGTGCCCATCAATGCATGAGTGGATTAATAAAATGCAGTATATGTACACCATGGAGTTCTACTCAGCCACAAAAAACAATGGTGATCTAGCACCTCTTGTGTTATTCTGGATGGAACTGGAGCCCATTCTACTTAGTGAAGTATCACAAGAATGGAAAAACAAGCACCACATGTACTCACCATGAAATTGGTTTCACTGATCAACACCTAAGTGCACATGTAGGAATAACATTCATTGGAAATCAAGCAGGTGGGAGGGGGAGGAGGGATGGGTAAATTCACACCTAACAGGTACAGTGCACACTGTCTGGGGGATGGGCACCCTTGTACCTTTGACTCAAATGGTACAAAAGCAATTTATGTAACAAAAACCTTTGTACCCCGATAACATTCTGAAAAAAAAAATGTATATTACATTCACATCTACAACAGGCCCAATAATAGAACTATACACACATTTTAAAAAATTGAAAATAAATAAAATGCCTTTCTCTTCCCTCACAGAAGATGCTGGATGCTCTGACGGAATCAGTCCCAGCCTAAATCTGTGCATCTGAGTTCCTTGAACAGTCCTGTGAGGGATCTTTTGGAAATCTCAGATTCTTTCCACATTCTCCGGCCAGCCCAGAGGCTCCGTTCCCTTGTCATAGCTGAAGCTTGACTGTACACCGCTTGGTAAACATCAGCTCTGCGAATCTATAGACAGCAGGCTCCGTTCGCGTCTAAACTTGCTTCAGTTGGGTGTTTGCCAGGGACATCACACCGCAGAATGTCCCCATGCTGTGAAGGTCTCTTGCGTTTTGCATTTAACCCGCAAGTTTATCTGCAAAGTTTGCATCATCTTTCTCCTTGCCCGGGGTTGAAGCCATTTGGCGAAACCCAAAACAAATGACACCAAGCGCTCCCTTGGTATAAAACGTTCCTGCTTGCTACGTAAAAGCACCCTTCTACCAGTCATCGTTGTGGTTAGTCCCAGCTGCGTGCATGCCAAATACTTCCTGGTCTGGGTGTTATTATATTTCCATATCTGTCTGTATCTGACAGCATTCTTGCTCGCTGGGCATGCTCGGAATCTCTCTTTGTTCCTTTAACATCTCAGATGGACTGTTTCGGGGAGCACTGCGGAAACAGAATTTTCTGTCTTTACTTAGGACTGCATCTTTATCATGTAAGACTGCTCTGAATCATGCTTTTTGGGCTCTGAGGTCCTTCGCTGCTATTGATACTGACTCATTCACTGATAGTGATTTTTCTAATTGCCATGTGCAGCCATGCCTTGTGCAACTTTCAAAAGACAAAAAAAAAAAAACCCACAAAACAGAAACTCTACAGCTCTTTCTTTCTTTCTTTCTTTCTTTCTTTCTTTCTTTCTTTCTTTCTTTCTTTCTTTCTTTCTTTCTTTCTTTCTCTCTTTCTTTTTTTATTGAGACAGAGTCTCACTCTGTTGCCCAGGCTAGAGTGCCGTCGCATCAGCCTAGCTCACAGCAACCTCAAACTCCTGGGCCCAAGCGATCCTCCTGCCTCAGCCTCCTCTCGAGTAGCTGGAACTACAGGCATGCGCCACCACACCCGGCTAATTTTTTGTATATATTTTTAGTTGGCCAATTAATTTCTTTCTATTTATAGTAGAGACGGGGCTCTCATTCTTGCTCAGGCTGGTCTTGAACTCCTGACCTCGAGCGATCCTCCCGCCGAGGCCTCCCAGAGTGCTAGGATGACAGGCGTGAGCCACCGCGCGCCCGGCCATCTCTGTAGCTTTTTCATTGCTACATCTTCTTCCCAAGTATACAAGAATAGTCTGCACATCTGGAGTAAAAGCATCGTTTTAGGCACAGGAACATCCTCAAAGATGCAGCACTATCTCCAAATTCCACATACATCTCAGCGGACACAGTGCTCCTCAGTCTGCCTTCTAACAGGGACCACCTCAGGCACTGCACATGGGAATGTGTTTTATGACTTCTTCCAACAGGGTCGACTCTGTTGTAATGATACCCACACTGGGAATTGAGTTCTTCATATCAATCTAGTGGATGGGCCCAACCCGTACCTTTGATCTCCAGAGCTGCCCAGAAAAAGTTGCTGAATTAGAGAGATTGTCCAAGGTTTGTATGCCAAGTGGACCCACCCAGTTCTCCTCTGGCCTTCTGTTTGTCGGGGATACTGTTTCATTCTTTTGCCCTGCTGCTTCTACAGGCTCTGGAAACAAAAGCCTCTGTTTGGAAGTGTTATTTCTTTCCTCCTAGGTCAAATGCCTTGGGGCCCGGGGTAGTGGTGGGAGAACTTCACTACACACCCAACAGAGGATTCCAGAAATACTTTATTACAGTTCTTACAAAGATACGTCTCCCTCAGCTTCTGCTATACAAAGGTTGCTCACTTGCAAACTGACAAAATCCCAGTGAATCGGGAGTTTCCTCTAGCTTTGTCTTGCCTCCCCCAGCCCCAGATGCAAACCAAGGAGAAAACAAAGGGTTAGTTGCTTGGGATTATCTTCCAAGCACAGAGGCGGGTATTATCTTTAACACCAGTCAAGAATTTCCCTTAGAAGTTAGCAGGGTGGTTTATTTGTCTCCTAGTTTGACATTCCTTTCCCATACCTATCTCGAGGTATCTTGCAATGAGAACTGTTCACATAAATTCAACAATAAATAAACAGTCACTAGTGGAGTGAGTTATTCAAGAGCCTGTAATTTTTAGTACCGTGTGGGCTGGTCTAATTATACCCAAGAAGCTATGAAAAGTTAACACAGGGGAGAGATGTTTCACTTTGTCTGCTATGGAATGCATACCTTTTTCTTTTCTTTTCTTTTCTTTTTTTTTTTTCTACAGCGTCTTCATTTTATTTGTTCATCTTGCGTTTGTCATCTTCATCGATACACACAGAACTGCAGGAACAGCAAACACAAATCTGAAGTGTGTGTCTAGACCTACTTTGCACGGTTCATTTTTCTATCATGACACGATGTCAGCTCTGTGGGATGATCATATTACTAATGCCATCTCTCCGCCTGGAGAAACACCACTGCCCAACTAGTTGGATAGCATGCCCTTGGAGACGTGTTTGTTTACAGTGGCGGTGGGATTTCTACCGTGTCATCAGTCTGCTGAGCCCTCATTTGTTTTATCATCCTGAGAAACTCTTGGAGACAGGTGGAAAGTGGGTCTCGGGTATCCAATACCAGACCATTACTAGCTTGGCAGGTAACACAATTCAAATACTATTCTGAAATAACATTTCCCAGTAGGAAACTCAAACCGAAAAGAAGAGAGAGTGAGATAAAAAGGAAAAGTTCCATCTGCTTCCCCGTTGGATCCTCTACCCTGATTTTTCTCCTTGGGAGATCCACTGAGAATTTTCTGTGACTACAGAATCCTATATGCTCTTGTAAAAATAAAATCCCAAGCAAACAAAATAAATGCAAATGAATCCTGTGATGCCAATAAATACACTTGCAATAAAATAAATGCAAATCAATCCTATGGTGCAGATAAATACACTTGCAAGAAAATATTAATACATAAATCGATCCTATGATATGGTCTGTTCGTTTTCAATAAAATGTTGAGATGATTTCACAAATACATATATATATGTATATATATATACAGAAATCATCATAGATTTTTAAAAATGGCTACACAATAGTCTATGGTAAGGGCCTATACTGATTTATTTTTCTGTTTATTTAGTTATTTATTTTTGAGACAGGGTCTTACTCTGTCGCCCAGGATAGAATGCAGTACTGTCATCATAGCTCACTGCAATCTCACTCCTAGGCTCCAGCAATCCTCCTGCCTCAGCCTCCCGAGTAGCTGGGACTACAGGTGCTTGCCACTATGCCCAGGTAATTTTTTCTATTTGTTGTAGAGATGGGGTCTGGCCGTGTTTGCTCATGCTGGTCTCAAACTCCTGATCTCAAAGAATCCTACCACCTCAGCCTCCCAAGTGCTAGGATGACAGACATAAGCCACCATGCCACGCCTCTTTTTCAGTATGTGTATATATATATATTTTAATGACATACACTTTATTTCTTAGAGCAGTTTTAAATTTACGGACGAATTAAACAGAAAGCACAGACAGTTCCCATACACCCCACTCTCACCCTGCACACAGATTTCCCTTATCATTAACATCTTGCATTCTTGTGTTGCATTTGTTACAATCAATGAACTCACCTGGACACATCAGTATGACCCATAGCCCACAGTTTACATTAGGGTTCACTCATCAGTGTTGTATATAGTCCATGGGTTCTGACAGATACATAATGTCATCTATCTACCATGACAGTACATATTTAATTTACTTTATTGATGTTATTTTTCTCCCATAGCTCCAATAACCCTTTCTCCCCCACCCCTACCTGCTCTGAGGTCTCAGTTCTCAACATGCATCAGACTTACCTGGGGACATTGTAAAAATGTCATGCATGCTCCTTTGAGATGTAATTCAGATGGTCTCTGGTTGGGCTCAGGCTTGTGTAGCATTTTTTCTTTTGATGTTCCAGGTCATTTTCAGGGTTCATGGGGTAGGTAACAGCCACCACAGGGCTCACCTTTTGGCCTTTGCTCTTAACTCAGCAGGCAGACAGATCTTTGTGAAACTAAACAGATCAGATCACATTTCTGCTCAAAATTTGACAATACCTCTGAACTGGACTCAAGGTTGCCAAAGGAAGTACAGGACACCGGTTGAATTTGAATGTCACAAAAACCGTGAATGCTTTTTTTTTTTTTTTTTACTATAAATATGTCCCAAAGATTGCACAGAACATACTTCTGCTAAACTTCATGGTTTATCTGACATTCAAATTCAACTGGGCAATGAGTATAAGTATATCCCAAAGATTTATGAGCTATACTTCCACTAAAAATCAAATTCAACTAGGTTTTGGCATGAGGGTGCCCAAACATTGCACAGAACATGCTTATACTAAGATATAATAGTTATTTCTTGTTTACCTGAAATTCAGTTCAACTGTGTGTTCGGCACAAGTATGTCCCAATTATTACTTGGGACATACTTATATTTAAAAAATACATTGTTTATCTGACATTCAAATTTAATGGGCATCCTGTATTTTTATTTGCTCAATCTGGCAACATCTCTCAGAGTAAAAGGCAAGGATCTTACAGGAGCCTTCAGGTCCACCCACCTGCTCATGACCCTACCTGCCCCAGAGGTTGTTCCCAGCTGTCCAGGCAAGTCAGACATATACCCCCTCCAAGAGCCTTGATATCACCAGACACCTCCTCACTCACTTCTTCTTCCTTAAGGGTGATAAAATTTGCCCTCCGGAAGACCTCCTACCTGTCATGATTTCCATCCACCCATCCCTCCATATACCCATCTATCCATCCATCTATCCACCCATCCATCTACCCACCCACCCATCGATCTACCCACCCACCCATCCATCTACCCACCCACCCATCCATCCTTCACCCACTCATCCACAAACCCATCCACCCATCCATCCACCCACCCATCCATCCATCCATCCATCCTCCCAGCCATCCACCCACCAATCCATCCATCTATCCATCCATCCATCTACCCATCCATTCATCCATCCATCCATCTACCCATCCATTTATACATCCATCTATCCACCCATCCATCTACCCACTCACTTATCTATCCTTCACCCACTCATCCACAAACCCATCCATCCATCTATCCATCCATCCTTCTAGCCATCCAGCCACCAATCCATCCATCTATCCATCCATCCATCTACCCATCCATTCATCAATCTATCCATCCATCCATCCATCCATCCACCCGTCCATTCATCCATCCATCCATCATCCATCCATCCATCCACCCATCCATCCACCCACCCATCCATCCATCCATGCATCCACCCATCCATCCGTCTATCCATCTACCCATCCATCCATATATCCATCTACCCATCCATCCATCCATCCATCCATCCATCCACCCATCCATCCACCCACCCATCCATCCATCCATGCATCCACCCATCCATCCATCTATCCATCCATCTACCCATCCATCCATCCATCCATCCATCATCCATTCATCCATCCACCCATCCATCCACCCACCCATCCATCCATCCATGCATCCACCCATCCATCCATCTATCCATCCATCTACCCATCCATCCATATATCCATCTATCCATCCATCCATCCATCCATCCATCCATCCATCCACCCATTCATCCACCCACCCATCCATCTATCCATGCATCCACCCATTCATCCATCTATCCATCTATCCACCCATCCATCTATCCTATCTTTCTTCCTATCTATGATCTGTCTACACCTGCGCTGAGGAGCTGCTGAGGTCCAAGTGCCTCAAATCAAGAGGTCTATGAACATAATGTTTATGGGACTGGCAGGGGATGGCAAAGATATTTTCCATGTTCACATTTGCCTTTCAAATTAGCTTCTGTACTTTAAAATTATGCACATTTCAAATGTGTATGCAGACATATATACAAACATATACACAAGCACACATAAATGTGTTTTAACATAAACATGTGTATATGTCGGCTTATATATCTTTAGGTTTGCATAAATATACACATATGTATTTCTGTTTATATATGTATATGTATGTACATATTTGCATGTGTGTTTTTATATATGTCTACATATATATTTATTTTTCCCCTAGGCTATATAGACACAAATGTGCCATTTAAAAAAAAATGGTTTCTTGGCCAGGTCTGGTGGCTCACGCCTGTAATCCTAGCACTCTGGGAGGCCTAGGCAGGAGGATCGCTCAACATCAGGAGTTCGAAATCAGCTTGAGCAAGAGCGAGACCCTGTCTCTACTAAAAATAGAAAGAAATTAATTGGCCAACTAAAAATACATAGAGAAAATTAGCTAGGCATGGGAGGCTGGAAGATCGCTTGGGCCCCAGAGTTTAAGGTTGCCATGAGCTAGGCTGACACCACAGCACTCTGGCCCAGGGAATGGAGTGAGACTCTGTCTCAAAAAAAAAAAAAAAAGGTTTCTTAGAAAAGGCTTCTTTTTCTAAACTTATATTATTTCATATAAACTTAATATAAAACATATTTAAAACTTATAATAATGCAATCTTATACTATAAATATATTTATTATTATATCTTTAAAGTCCATATATTTATTCTAATATATTATGGTTCCATTTTTTTCTCTCATTAGCGACACATCTTTCTCAACTCTTTTTTTCCTTAATTTTTTTTTGTTTGTTTCAGCATGTTACGGGGGTACACATTTTTAAGCATACGTTTTTACACATTGAGAGTTCATTTTCACATAAGGAGCCAAGAAGAAACCCAGGGTATCTACTTTTTCTTTAAATTTAAGTCACTAAGCAGTTGTCTGCAAGACATCGATTGGGTCTAGCTCTGTTCTCTCCAACTGTTTAAAAAGTCACAAGCCTTACGGATGCCTTCCAGACTGCAGTGCAATCCATTTCTCAATCTCCTTCTCTCCTCTCCGATAACCAAACGATTCCAAAATCCTGCCTACGTCCGGTCTCATGACAAATCTTATTTTCTAGAACTTTAGGATCCCTGTCTCACTCCCATCCTCCCAGATATACTTTAACTTCCCTTGCTCAAGTTCTGATGCGCCCCTTGATGGGATGACCCAGTGGTAAGTCATCTTAGAGGGAAGAATTCCAGAGGCAGACGTTTCTCTCCAAGGTCAGGGTATGCGTTTTTTCTTTCATCACATCTTCCTAAGGTCCTTTGGGAGTACTCAAGTTTCCCTCCTTGTGAGTCATCAATACCCTAATACTGATAAGTATTGATGACCGACTACCGTTAGTCAGCCATGAAACACTGGGGCTTGTGGATAAGACGTGATAAATGTTATCTTACCTTTCTCCTAGAAAGTGGCATAAACAACAGAGTCACCACTTTCTTCTAGCAGGGACTTAAGAGAGCTCTAACCCAATCCATCATTTTCTAAAAGCTGGTTTCCAGATCTCCCAGTTTTTCTTTCTCATGGAATCATTTATGTGTGTCCTGAGGTCTGCATGCTCGTGACAGTAAAATGATACATGCTTGCAGAGAAAAGGAGAATACAATTAAAAATGAAGACTTTTTTTTATAATCCAGATGCATTTCTGACATTTTCCTACCATTTTTATTTTTTAATTACTTTTAATTTTTTTTTTCATTTCAGCATATTCCGGGGGTACAAATGTGTAGGTTACATCTATTGCTTTTGCCCCATCTGAGTCAGAGCTTCAAGCGTGCCCATCCCAAAGACGGTGCCCACCGCACCCATTAGGTGTGAATATACCCATCCCCTCCTCCTCTTCCCACCTGCCCGACACCCGATGAATGTTACTACTATATGTGCACTTAAGTGTTGAGCAGTTAGTACCAGTTTGATGGTGAGTCCATGTGGTGCTCATTTTAGGTCATCTTCTATATCATTAAGATTGGAATATACTATACAATATGGACTGCTGCCTGTATTTCTTAAAAATCTAACTATAATTTTTCCATTTTGTGCGCCACATTTAGGAAGAGTTTGAAGATTTCCTCATGTAAACATGCCGGTATAAATGTATGTGTTCTCCTAATTTGGGATGCTGAAAGGTATCTCTGTTTCTCTATCATCAAAACTGCCTAGAATATTGGGGTGACCATGAAGCTTTTGCTGTACTCTGGAATTTGATTTTGATAAATAAATTCCTACATAGAGAACGAGTGGACCAAAACATAGGATCATTGTTCACACCACAGGGCTTTGTACTAATGGACATTACAATCAAAAACATGTAATAACCTTCGTGCCAGCATTCCATCTTTTCAGTGCTCAGTGGATTAAAAAAAAAAAAGAAAACAAAACAAAACAATGAGCTGCTACATTTGTTTGAGCCACCACATTTTTTAGCTGCATTTCTTTGATTACTGTTTATTATAAACAATTTTTCTCTGTGTGCAAATGACCCATAGCTATGTCCTTTTAAAAGTTTTAAATGCATTTATTAGTATCCTTATTTTCATTATTTATTTTGGCTGTCCTTTTTACTCTTTTCAAAAATTCATCTATTACCATCCTTTCACCGTTCATGACTTTGACCATTCATTTCCCGCACTGTGCATGCTTGCCATAAAAGGGCTGTCAATTTATTTATATTCCAATAACTCTCTTGACCTTTTTTAACTAGTCAGGTCTAATGCATCCTTACCCCTGCAGTTCCAGCTCTGTGCAGCTTAGAGAAAGTCCTTCCAAGCCCACCCAGGGAGTGGACAACTGGCAGTATTATTTTCCTTTTAGTCTTACTGTTTTACATTTCCCATCCATTTCACTCTAATACTACTGGTATTTATTTTAGTTCTTTTTCTTCTGATGCCTTTGTGGTATTTTTACGTATAGTACAAGGTGGGAATCTAAATTAGCTTTTTTCCCCTAAAAATAGAGAACTGTTGATACTCGTTTGTTATTTATTATGTCTGGAGACATAATGGGACTTGATGTGTTATAATTCACCTCATGTTATACTATGTTGCACTTTATCTGTGCAACATCGATGTGCTATAATTTATCTCATGTTACTATGTTGCACTTTATCTCATGTACATAAAGTGACTTGATGTGTCATAATTCACCTTGTGTTACTATGTTGTACTTTATCTGATGTTACTATGTTGCACATAACAACAACATTGGTGTGCTATAATTTATCTCATGTTACTATGTTGCACTTTGAGTTACTTACAGCCTCCTGGGACCAGTTCAAAGCACACCAGAAAAAAGAAAGAGCAGAAACCACCTAATTCAGATGCATTCCAAGTGATAAAGTCAGCTTTGTATATTCTAGGATGTAGCTCCTTGGTTAAGGGCTTCTGCCCACTTCTTTGCCATCCCAGTGTCGAGATTGTAAAGATCTAATTAAAGGAAAGCTCATTAACAGACACTAAAGAACAGAATGCTAAAGTGTCCACGATTAACTTATTTTGAAGTCATTTTACTTTTTAACTTACTCCCCTATTCCTTAATCATTATCATTAGTCTTTGGGTAAAATGTTACCTTTGAGGTTCAAATCCAGAAATCCAATTACACAACAACCACATGGGCACATAACATTAACTTCCCTTTTGGAAGAAGGATTGTTCTTTCCAGTGCATTTGTTTACCTTTTGGGAAGAGCCATTCACCTGCATTCCTTCGATAGGTACCTTAGATTTTCCACAAACCTTGCCAGGATGCCAGAAAAAAAAACTCTCAGGTATCTCTCGGGTGAGGGCTAAACTCACCATCTGCTAATTTAATAATGAATGTTTACTAGCAAAGACAAAGATAATATCTTCCACGCTTTCCTATCGGTTTTTCTTTGGGATGACTTGAGAAAAGCCAATAATGTTTAGAAACATTATTTTTGGAGG